TCTCCCTCTTCTTTTCCCGCAGATAAATGCATCACCAGCGAGCTGCTGAAGGACATCCCCCTGCCCGGGGTGCTGGGGGGCAGCCTCAGCGCTGAGGCCGAGCTGCTGAAGGGAGGTGAGAGCTGGGCGAGAGGCCGGGGGGCTGGTTTCCTGCTGCCTCCCCCTCAGCGGACGCTGTCCCACTGTCCCCCCTCCCCGCAGGCCCCCTCCCTTCCCCCAAGGAGCTCATCAATGGAAACATCAAAACCATCACGGAATACCGCGAGGAGGAGGACGGGCGCAAGGTGAAGGTGAGCAGAGTGTCCCGGGCTGTCGTTTTGGCTTCTCCCTGCTGCCGAGCTCCCCTCCTCCCCTCCTCCTCTTCTCCCCTTCACCACCTCTTCTCCTCTTCGCCTCTTCTCCTGCATTGATGGGTTTTTTTTTGTGTTTTCACAGATCATCCGCACCTTCCGCATCGAAACCAGGAAGGCCTCCAAGGCGGTGGCCCGCCGGAAGGTGAGCGGGAAGGGAGAGGGAGGGAGATCTGTGCCCCAGCAGGACCCGCTTCACCTCCCAGCCCTGCGCTTCTGCCCGGTCCTTCTCCATCTCCCCGCAACCCCTCGGAGGGGAGCGTTACCCTTCCCGCTGGCTGCTCCTGCTCTGGGATTGCTCGGGATCGTGCCGTGTGAGCGGGACCCCTGGTTGTGGGTTTTTTTTTTTTTTTTTCCTCCAGAACTGGAAGAAATTTGGCAACTCTGAGTTCGACGCCCCCGGACCCAACGTGGCCACCACCACCGTGAGCGACGACGTCTTCATGACCTTCATCACCAGCAAGGAGGTGAGTCGGGCGCGGTGGGAGCTCGTTGGCCGGCGGGGAGCCCCCGGTGAGGCCGTGCCCGCGGACTCGGGAGCCTCCCTGTCCCCCAGGACCTGAACTGCCAGGAGGAGGAGGATCCCATGAACAAGCTGAAGGGGCAGAAGATCGTCTCGTGCCGGATCTGCAAGGGCGACCACTGGACCACCCGCTGTCCCTACAAGGACACGCTGGGGCCGATGCAGAAGGAGTTGGCCGAGCAGCTGGGGCTGTCCACAGGCGAGAAGGAGAAGCTGCCCGGAGGTACAGCACCCCTG